GGTATAGTACCGCCAGAGGGGGGTGGGGGTGAGAGTGTGTCGGTCTAGTACCGCCAGAGTGGGGTGGGGGTGAGAGTGAGTCGGTACAGTACCACCAGAGGGAGTGGGGGTGAGATTGAGTCGGTATAGTACCACCAGTGGGGGGTGGGGATGAGAGTGAGTTGGTATAGTACCACCAGAGGGGGGTGGGGGTGAGACTGAGTCGGTACAGTACAGTTTGAAGAGATGGGTCTTGAGGGCAGTTTTGAAGGCTGGGATGGTCAGTATATTGCTTGCGGATGTTTAATGGGAGAGAATTCCATTGTTTGGGGGCACAGAAAGAGAAAGCTCGTTCACCATATGTTTTAGTGCGTGTTCTGGGAACAGAAAGGATGCGTGTGTCTGTGGAGGAACGAAGCTTTCGAAGGGGTGAATAGACAGGATGGTGAATCAATGCGTGCCTGTACAGGAAGCCAATGAAGTGAGTGAAGTAATGGAGTTATTATAGTTTTTCTTATCTTTCCCAGAAGTACCTTCCTCTCTTCAATATATTTACAAGTATGTTTCAATGTAATTAATAAATTATGACATTATTGATTTATTTGTATATGTGTTGGTTGAATTATTTATTTATTTATTTTTTTTTTTGGGGGGGGGGGCATTAATAATCCTATCGGCGGCCCTGATCCCCAGACGAGAACATCTTCAATAATCCAAGTCTTAATGTGACTCATGATATCAAATTAATTATCTATTTCCATATTGTTCATTTGTGTGGGATAAGTAGAACCTAGAAAATAAACAACGCTTGTATCGAGTGTCGTTTTAAAAAAAAATATTTAAATATAATTAAAATTATTATTTTTTTTACATTTAAATGAGAAAATGCCACGCTGTGTAGCAATATTTCTTTATTCGAAAAAGAAATAATTGATCTAAATAAATCGATGCTTTATCTGTTGATCTTTATTATCAAGGAATGAAACAACTTGTCTTGGCAAATAATAATATTTATGATTCTAGGTTGAGTGTTGCTGTGATCAATCATTCAATAATTTATCTATGCGAACATTTTTTTTATACTAATTGAGGGGAGATAAATTATGTCTGTGGTGAAATGTGAATAGACATTTATGATTTGAATTATTTTTTATATATATATATATTTAAACCATGAGAAAATTCTTACGAGTAATATAACCCACTGTGCCTACATTTATCTATATATATATAATTCGCCAGCAAAGGTCAACCACCAACACGGTTCAAACACCACGCAGGCTATTTATAGATACGCCAGTGTGTGGTTCAATAATGAGTTCACTAGCGCGCAAAATATAATTCCCGATAACTACGCTAAATGATATATATATTTTTTTAACAACGCAATTGATTATATAGCGTTTGGTGCGTAATATTTTCTTTTCGGGAATGAAATCGTCTCAATTTAAGTATGGTGTAAAACATATTCGGTTTAAAAGTGGTTGGGACATGAGAATATTAATATAGTTCATGGGCGTGAAATAAAAAGTGTGCAGTGGCGTATCATGGGGGAAGGGGTGTAGCAAATATTGGGATTCTTAAATGTGCGTTACTTGAGTTCATGTTTTGTCAAGTAACTTTAGTGTATGATTGGAAGTTGACGCACTGCTGCCGCCAATGTTTGGCGGGCTATATCTAGTTTGTAATATTTCATGAGCAAATTACCTAATATGAAGGTATTGATATATATATATCACATAGTTTTAACAAAGAATTGAAAATATGTTATCCTATATATCATAAAAAATGGACACATGCAGCTATATATAGCCCTTAATTATACATGTGCTTATGACCATGATTACACAGGTCTGTATGCCCTTGATTAAACGGTGTGTATGATTATCGTTCATTATACATGTGTGTATGATAATGATTATACAGGTGTGTATGACCTTCATTATACAGGTATGTATGACCTTCATTATACCGGTATGTATGACCTTCATAATACAGGTGTGTATGGTCATTGATTATACAGGTGTGCATGGCTCTTAATTATGCATGCATTTATTCCTTTGATTATACAGGTGTGTATTGCAATTGATTTTAAAGGTGCATGCGGCCCTTGACTATAGTGTGTATACAGCCCTTGATTAAACTGCTGTGAATGACCCTTGATTATATAGCTGTGAATGGCCCTTGATTATATAGCTGTGAATGGCCCTTGATTATATAGCTGTAAATGGCCCTTGATTATATAGCTGTGAATGACCCTTGATTATATAGCTGTAAAAAGGGCCCTTGATCATATAGCTGTAAATGGCCCTTGATTATATAGCTGTGAATGGCCCTTGATTATATAGCTGTGAATGGCCCTTGATTATATAGCTGTGAATGACCCTTGATTTTATAGCTGTAAATGACCCTTGGTTATATAGATATGAATGGCCCTTGATTATATAGCTGTAAATGGCCCTTGATTATATAGCTGTAAATGACCCTTGATTATATAGCTGTAAATGGCCCTTGATTATATAGCTGTAAATGGCCCTTGATTATATAGCTGTAAATGGCCCTTGATTAAACTGCTATGAATGGCCCTTTATTGCACAGGTGTGAATGGCCCTTGATTACGCAGATATGGTCCTTGATTGCGCAGGTGTATATGGCCCTTGATTGCACAGGTATGTACAGTTTTGATATGCCATAATCGGATGCCACAACTTTAACGTTTGGAACCTTCGGATTACAGCACGGGTTTAAACGAAAATTCGATCTCTGATCAGTGCTCACCCCCTTCATGTACTCTGCGCCTTATGGATTTCTTTGTTTTATAATGTACATCGATCGCTGCCCTTACATAAAGATGGGATTTCCACTTGATAATTAGTGCTTTATCGGCAAGTGTGCCGTGTCGTACGGGTGAATCAGTGTCACATCAACAGCTGGACATGGTGTTGTTCAAAAGTTGGATCTTGCTGATTTGGGCGGTGACTTGTCCCCTGACACGGGCAACAAGCAGTGGCTGTGTGGATGCCGTCACGAGTGAAGGTTTGAGAACACTGCAACATTCCCAGGGGGCGTGTGCGCCACCCCAGCTCGGGGAGATGGGGCGGGATGAAGGACTTCGCTACTTAAGATGTTACCTGGGCAAAGTTTATACCATGATTTGTCCCAATAACACGAGGTAAACATTTTCTAGGTAAACGTTAACTTCTGGATAAACATTTCTAGTCTAAGCGAAACATTTCAAGATATACATTTCAAGGTAAACATTGATAGGCGAACATTAACTTCTAGGTAAGAATTTTAAGGTAAACATTTCTAGGCAAAAATTTCGAGGTAAACAATTTTTTTTTTAATCATTGCGTTGTAAGCATTAAATTTTAGGTAAATATTTCCTTGTAAATCTCAATTTCTAGGTAAACATTTTTAGGTGAAACTCTTTAGGTAAATACATCATGGTAAACATTTGTATGTAAACATTTCTAGGTAAACATAATTTCTTGGTAAACGTGTTTTGTGTAATCATTAATCATTAACATTTCCCCAACCATAGAGACGAGGTGTGATTGTGTCAGGGAACACTGGGCGCCCCTCTGGTTTTGTTTTAGCTGTAATCATTGTGTTTTTTGTTGTTGTTTGTCCTTTTCATGTGAAGATGACCAAGGATATCTTAAAGGCTGAGTGCGTAGGTGGCTTGCCAAGATGACCAAGGCTATCTTTAATGGAGAGTTCGTAGGTGGCTTGCAAGATTACCAAGACTGTCTTTAATGGAGCGTGCGCAGGTGGCCTGCCAAGATGACCAAGACTGTCTTTAATGGAGGGTTCGTAGGTGGCTCGCAAGATGACCAAGGATATCTTTAAGGCTGAGTGCGTAGGTGGCTTGCCAAGATGACCAAGGCTAACTTTAATGTAGAGTTCGTAGGTGGCTTGCAAGATGACCAAGACTGTCTTTAATGGAGAGTGCGTAGGTGGCCTGCCAAGATGACCATGGCTATCTTTAATGGAGAGTGCGCAGGTGGCTTGCCAAGATGATCAAGACTATCTTTAATGGAGAGTGCGTAGGTGGCCTGCTAAGATGACCAAGATTATCTTTAATGGAGAGTGCGTGGGTGGCCTGCTAAGAGGACCAAGACTATCTTTAATGGAGAGTGCGTAGGTGGCCTGCTAAGATGACCAAGACTATCTTTAATGGAGAGTGCGTAGGTGGCCTGCCAAGACGACAAAGGCTATCTTTAATGGAGAGTGCGTAGGTGGCCTGCTAAGAACACAAGACTATCTTTAATGGAGAGTGCATAGGTGGCCTGCTAAGATGACCAAGGATATCTTTACTGGAGAGTGTTGTTGGTGGCCTGCCAAGAGGACCAAGACTATCTTTAATGGAGAGTGCGTAGGTGGCCTGCTAAGATGACCAAGACTATCTTTAATGGAGAGTGCGTAGGTGGCCTGCCAAGACGACCAAGGCTATCTTTAATGGAGAGTGCGTAGGTGGCCTGCTAAGATGACAAGACTATCTTTAATGGAGAGTGCATAGGTGGCCTGCTAAGATGACCAAGGCTATCTTTAATGGAGAGTGTGTAGGTGGCTTGCAAGATGACCAAGACTATATTTAATGGAGAGTGCTTAGGTGGCTTGCAAGATGACCAAGACTATCTTTAATGGAGAGTGCTTAGATGGCTTGCAAGATGACCAAGACTATCTTTAATGGAGAGTGCTTAGTTGGCTTGCAAGATGACCAAGACTATTTTTAATGGAGAGTTCGTAGGTGGCTTGCCAAGATGACCATGGCTATCTTTAATGTAGAGTGTGTTGGTCATCCTGCCAAGATGACCAAGGATAAACAAAGCTTGATGCTGCTGGGTGCTATCCATTGCTAGACAAGGGTAGATAGTAATTGGGTGGGTGAGGTAAAGCTTTTGACCAATTGTTGTTGATTAATTTATAATTTTCTGTAATGACTAATTTTTATGTGAAGCGCGGTGAGCTTAGCCCTAGGCTGGGTTACTGCACTATAAAAAACCACCTAATAATAATAATAATAATAATAATAATAATAACAATATAGAACATTAAAAACTAATCTGGTTGAAGGTAAAATGGCTTTATTGAAAAGGCATAGCCTGAGGGGTTGTTCATAAAGGACGTCAGCAAGAAATACATATATTTCCCCACTCCTTGCCAACTCCTCTTTTCCCCATATAGCGTACTTGGTGTTTTAAGGATGTACACATGGATTGACATAGAGTACGTTTAAATTGTAAAAAAAATATTTTACATACTGGAACACACTCAGTGGACCTTAGGCAGCACACAACAAGACATGCTAGCTTGTGGCCGTCCCCAAGACCCCTACATACCCCCCACCACCTTGTTCGCACTTGTCCGCTTTTGAACGACACCCCATCCCCCCCACACACACACACTTACACACGACAGCCCGCACACACACACACACCACAGCCAGCACACACACACACCCCAGCCCACACATCCCAGCCCACATACCTCAGCCCACACACACACCAGCCCACACACCACAGCCCGCACACCACAGCCCACACACAACAGCCCACACACCAAGACCACACATACACACGCATATTCTCTCAGGCATTCCTCAACACCACATAGAAAAACTTCAGAAGGCACAGAACTCAGCATGCAGACTCATTTTTAAATCAAAGAAACATGACCACATTCAACCACACATGCGCAACTCCACAGCCCACACACAACAGCCCACACACCAAGACCACACACACACCAGCCCACACCCACACATCCCAGCCCACACACCACAGCCCACACATCCCAGCCCACAAACCTCAGCCCACACACACACTCCCCAGTCCACACACCCCAGCCCACACATCACAGCCCACACATCACAGCCCACACACACACACCCCAGCACACACACACACACCAGCCCACCCCACACACACACACTTCTTTGCGAATATACCTCATGAACGGCCCATAACTCAATAGTTAAAAAAAAAAAAGAAAAGATAATGAATTTATCTACTTGCATTTGCTAAGAGTTACTGAAAATTTGTTAGCGTTTAAAAAATTCAATTGGCAGAACTTGCTGGTAGAAAACTTTTCTAGATACAATTTTTTTTCTCCGGCTTTTGTGGCAGCAAACGCAGTGATGATATCACATAATGTAGTCTAAAGACAGCATCATTTTCAAAAGTCAGCACAGCCAAACTTGTGGTCATTCTTTTCTTAATCATAGGTGCACTTTAATATCATGTTTTAATCAATATAGTTTAAGGACTTAAATTTTCACCGCTTGCAACGTTGAAGATAATTTTCAGCAAATTCCAAGAGAAATAACCGGAAATTTTATTTGGAGAAACGCCCAAACATTAATTTGAGTGTAAAAATGAATGAAAGATCAAATGAAAATTTTTATGCATGGCACCATAAGTATCCAAAAATGAATTTCTTCACATCAATGTCTGAGACGTTCCCATTTGTTTGCACAATTCCTAAATCTGAAGAAAAAATTTCACCAATTCCTTACGAGGTGATGGTAATCCTTTAAGCCATGCCTGCACAACTCAAAATGTAAGGTGGGCCGTAATACTTTATGAAAAGCTTTTGCGGGCCAAAAGAAAATAGGTCAGGGGGAAAGCTATTAAGAAAACAATAGGAATAAAGAATATTTCGTTACATCTCGGCTTGTAGCATTTAGTCAAATAGGCCCCGGACTATTCGGATGTCATTTGTGGTGGTTTATTTTAGTTACACTGAAGAATTAAGTTTACAACCTTTTACATACAGTCCATTCAATTATCTTTATTTTGATACCTCATCTTGTCTTACACACCCAACAATAATATTTTAAATAATTTTTCAATCCCAACCTCTCACTTCTGGTACCCGGGTGCGAATAGTCGCAGCTTTAACTTGAACTATTTCACGGTGTGATTTTATGTTTGAGTTTAACTATTTCACTGTGTGATTCTATGTTTGAGTTGAACTATTTCACTGTGTGATTTTATGTTTAAATTTAATTAATTCACTATGTGATTGTATCTTTAAATTTAACTATTTCACCGTGTGATTGTATCTTAAAATGTCAGGCACCTACAAAAAGCCTCTGACGTCAAATAAACCAACTTTGACCGGAGTAGGGGATATTCCCCTGGTCCATTAAGTTGCTAGTTTTAAAAACTATATAATAAATATAAACAGTCACATCATTATAGTATCAATTTATTCATTAATGTTTTGTCTTGAAGCTATTATTTATGTCTATATTTAGGTATGACGTAGGAGCAGATACCTGCACTGATCCAAAACTTGCCTCTTGTAACGTCACTGACAGAGATGGCGGTAGGTTTTTGTTGTTCTGTTCTATGCCCTTTCTATTGTTTGACTGACAATCGCCATTGGGGTTTTAAGATTTTGTAAAAATCCCCAGCCCTTATTTAGATCATTATTTTTTTTTAAATTATACGTATTGGTTAATCTCACCCACTAACCCCTTCACTTAACCCACCCATCCCCACCCCACACAAAACTCATTTAAATTTTTTTTTTTTTAAATCTTCAGCGAGAAAAAACAGAACAAAACGTAATTCCTACCTCGATCAGTGCACTAAAGAAAATTGTAAACTCCCCAACTGCTTTTGTTCCGGAGATACGCCCAATCTGCCTTTCACGGACACGCCCATGTTTGTCATGATTACGTTTGATGACTCCGTCTACGATGACCTCTACCATAAATTCTTTAAGCCGTTGTTCGTTGTCAACCAGTACAACCTCTTCAACCCCAGCGGGTGTCCGGTAAAGTAGGTGGCGCCATTTTCCATTTAAATGTTGCTATAACAGCATCAGTCTATGGTGTTAACAGTAACATGGTAGGATTCTATTAACAGTATCAGTATGTGGTGCTATAACAGTAACAGTATATGGTGCTATTAATAGAATCGGTATAATGGTGCTATTGAATGCGTTGTTACAAAACAAAAAAAAACAAAAAAAAAAACATTTACAAAACTATTTTATCAGAGAGATTTCGATTAAGATATATTTGCGGTAGAATGATTCTATGGTGTGTTACTAACACATTGCATTCATTCACATCTTTCCTTGACTCTTCTCATTGTCAGGATGGGCCTATATGTGTCCTTGCAGTACAGCAACATCACGCTGGTGCGGGAGGCATACCATGCCGGAAATGAGATTGGCTCTCACACTCTCTACCATGAACTGCCAGAGGGAGAGAATCTAACGTACGCGGCTGTGGCTGAAGCCGTAAGTCCCCCATGGTTATATTCTTTTTTCTTTTTTCTAGAGGTGACTTGAATCTCCTTAAAAGTATGCCACAATTGTATTTGGCACCAGGAACGAAGACATTCATCTATGCATCACCTTCATCAGAAGTAGGGAGACACTGAAACATAATAATATATCTATCAATTACCTACACCAGGGGTCGGGAGCCATACTACTAAACCATATATCTATACGCCACCTACACTAGGGATCGGGAGCCATACTACTAAACCATATATGTAAATAGGGGGGGGGGGGGTCGTCCTCAATTTTTATGGACGTCGAATTAATTTATATTTTTAAAATGCCCAAGCTATCTTACCGCCAAAGTTTCATTTTTATTGCTTCCAATAATGGCCACTTAATTTTCTTTCTAAATTGTACATCACATTCCCAAATACTTCTACTTAAAGCTTCTCTCTCTCTCTCTCTCTCTCTCTCTCTCTCTATCTATCTATCTATCTATCTATCTATCTATCTATCTATCTATCTATCTATCTATCTATCTATCTATCTATCTATCTATCTATCTATCTATCTATCTATCTATCTATCTATCTATCTATCCATCCACCTATCTATCTCTATCCAGATAGTGGGTGTGAAGCAGCGGATCCTAGAGGCCACTGGGGACAGAGACCTGTATGATTCCATGGTTGGGTTCCGAACCCCTTACCTACGATGTGTCGGTGACATCAGGAATGACGTACTCAAAGATCACGGTTTCCTGTATGACTCGTCGCTTAGCAACGAGGAGAATTTTTACGGCCGTGTTCCTTTTTGGCCGTATACCTTCAACTACTTGCCCAAGAGGTAGTCAATGTTTTATTCACATGTGCAGTGCCCCCACCCACAGTATATATCACCAATTTTCCACTCTCAATTACTTGCTACACATAAAAACGTCTCTTCTTCCAAGTGTAGTTTCCTCATTTTATACGTAAATACAACTAGGCTTACGTCAACCGTCAATGAACTCAATTGTACTCCACTCCCCCGACCCCAATACACCCGACATCTAAGCTCTCCGACGAATAACATTAGCAAAGACAGCCCACAACAAATCTGATCACCATTTACGGCCAGGCCTCTTACATTTATATTACAATTATTACAGATGTATCCATTAAAGCAAATATATATATATGTGTTAAATGGACCCCAACCGCCCCCCACCCACCCACCCACCCCTCCCCCACAAAAAAAAAAAGATAGTTAAGGACCCACTAGAAATTTTACCGACAATGTATTTCAGGTGTTGCAACTGTCAGTGTCCATCAAAACGTTACGAGGGCCTGTGGCAAGTTCCGCTCAATGCGTGGTTAGGAGATGACGGTCAGGTCTGCGCTATGGTGGATGGATGGACGTTCGACAAGGACGAAACTTTCCTAGCAAATAGATCAGTGGAGCAGTGGTACAACTACTATCAGTGAGTTCAGTTATTACAGGTATAGAGTAGCTGATCTTGAACGTTTTTTGTCCATGCCCCTAAGCACCGATACCACCATCGAATGCCCACACAACTCTCTTGGAAAGTTAATGGTGGTAAAACTCGCTTAACAATTACCCCATCAAAGCACAGTGACGTGATGTGGCTTGGACGAAGGTCTCAAGTATTATTTATTAAAGGTATACCGTGTGGTAGGCTGCACGTGTTAGCATTAGTTTACAGCGCGGTATTTCAACCTCTTTGAAAATGGAACTCGTGGCAATACCATTTATTCTTTCATAGATTTTTCCAATATAATGACTGTGACATCAGTATCTTTAATGTATCCAGTAAAAGGAATGTATCTGTTATTATTTTAGGTTTTAAAAAGACTCTTCTCTCATCGACACATCCGAGTACCTAGTGCTTTTTTTCATCAGATATCTGCTATTAAAAATTGAACAATTTGTTCAAAATTTATTCAAATAATGTTTTTTTTTTTAAAAATAAAATACCCGAGGGATAGTAAGTTTACCTTTGTTTGTGCCACAGGTATCCCATTATTGAAATTAATTGTGCAACTGGAATCCCATCTTTGAAATTGCTTGTGCCACTGGCATACCATCATTGACATTGCTTGTGCCACTGGCATCCCAATCATTGAAATTGCTTGTGCCACTGGCATCCCATTATTTTTATCATTTAGTTATTTTCTAAACTACTTAATCATCGTCCTTGTTCATTTCTTCCCCAGCCGTCACTTCCTTAACTACTTCTACCCCTACAAGGTGCCCATGTCCTTCTTCGCTCACGGTTCAACGTTCTACCGATCTCCGAACTCTTACGTTGCACTGCACCTTTGGTTAAAAGGCCTACTCCGACAATACCCAAACGTGTGGGTAGTTCCGCCCAAACTGGTTATACAATGGATGAAACGACCATTGACCCACGATCAAATGAAAAAGGACAAATGGGATTGTTATGTGTAACATTGTTACAATGGGATTGTTATGTGTAACATTGTTACAATGGGATTGTTATGTGTAACATTGTTACAATGGGATTGTTATGTGTAACATTGTTACAAATGATACAGTAGGCTTACGCCGGCAACAAAACAATTTGAACAAGTTAAAAAAACAACTAAAAACACATTCATTAAGATCGTTGACTTGTGAAAATATTAGATGAATCCAATTATCTCATTGTCAATATTATAATAAAAAAATATATCTCCTTTTTAAGGTGCTGAATGGTTAGATAAGGATGATGTTGACTTGCCTGGTATATCAGTTCCACAAGATGAAAATGATTAATCAACTACTATAGACTATGCCCATCAGGAGCGTCATGTCCTGTCTTTTCAGGTGCGGGGGGGGGGGAGGGGGCAAAACCCAAACCTTGGTCGGCTTGTTAAGTTGTTATTATGTCAGAAGCCACAGTGCATAGCAATTTAAATAAAACCTGAAAATTATCAACTACTATAGACTATGCCCATCAGGAGCGTCATGTCCTGTCTTTTCAGGTGCGGGGGGGGGGGGAGGGGGCAAAACCCAAACCTTGGTCGGCTTGTTAAGTTGTTATTATGTCAGAAGCCACAGTGCATAGCAATTTAAATAAAACCTGAAAATTAAGGGGTGGGGCAAATGCCCCCCACCCTGACCTACCCCAATGATGTCCCTGATGCCCATTGTTACGATAGAGAAAAGCTGGCTACTCCTTGGGAGGATGATAGCAACTAGAAACTATGCTATAATTGTCAGCTTTACTGACAATAATCATCGTTATAGCACAAACAATGATATTTAGTCTTTAACAACCTTTCAATTTATTCTGCATTATAAAATTTAAGTGTAAAAACTTTTTTAACTTGTTGATGAACAAGCTAAAGATGTAATGAAATGTGGTTCCTACAATTTTGTATCATTAAAATAGATCAGCACATAGTAACATGTATTTATAATATTTTTACAATATAATGCCTTTTGGTGGGGGGGGGGGGGGGGAGGGGGAGAGGGAGATGCAACCATTCTAAAGGTTCCCTACTTTGTTGTTTTTAAATCGCACACGAATCGCATTCTTGCAAGTCACTTAAATCAATTTACGTTTTTAATTACCAACATTAGCCAAATTTGAAGTGTTGCGAATATATATAAACATATATGTATTATATATATAATATCTTTATATATATATACACACTTAACACTTCAATATATATTATATATACATACATATTAAAAAGCATAGTGTGGGGAGAGGCAATAGTAATATAATTTAAAAAAATTGAAAGACCCTAAAAGGGATCGCATCTAATACTGTCTACTGTAGTGAGGTGAGTTGGGGGTAACTACTGTACAGACTTCACTCTGTGACGTCTTTCAATGGTTAATTCTCTTTTAAAGAAATCATTTTATTTGGGGGAAAGCAGACGAAGCACAAACCGATATTTCCCGCCTTTAAATTATTATATAACGCAGTCAGGGAAATGTTTAGACTCCGACTCCGGGTCAGATATCCTAATGC